ACTGTTTATAATTATGGAATTAAAGTATAGAGATAACTTCATGTAGTTGTATGATGACTGACTTTCTTTTTTTTTTCTTTTGGAGCCTTCCTCTGTTGCCTAGGCTGGAGTACAGTGGCCTGATCATAGCTCACTGTGACTTCAAACTCTTGGGCTCAAATGGTCCTCCTGTCTCAGCCTTCCAAAGCTAATTTTTAAATTTTTTGTGTAGAAATGGGGTTTCACTGTGTTACTCAAGATGATCTCAAACTCCCAGCCTCGAGCAGTCCTTTTGCCTTGACCTCCCAAAATATTGGGATTACAGGCCTGAGCCACCATGTCTGGCTTGACTTTCTAAATACTTTGGTACAGAAACATGTTTTTTCTTTTACTATTTCACTAATAAAAACAGCCATAGTTATTTTTCTATGGTATAGTTAATATTAAAATAATCTTTTGTTTCACTTCAGATTAGTGTGGAATATAATCTCTCAAAGCTTTATGTGAATAAAAATTTTGAAGATAAATTACGTTTCAAAGTACTGCTATTTGTTATTAAAAACCCAAACTTGGCCAGGCGTGGTGGTGGCTCACGCCTGTAATCCTAGCACTCTGGGAGGCTGAGGTGGGAGGATCACTTGAGGTCAGGAATTCAAGACCAGCCTGAGCAAGAGCAAGACCCTGTCTCTACTAAAAATAGAAAGAAATTAATTGGCAAACTAAAAATAGAAAAAATTAGCTGGACGTGGAGGTGCATGCCTGTAGTCCCAGCTACTTGGGAGGCTGAGACAGGAGGGTCACTTGAGCCCAGGAGTTTGAGGTTGCTGTGAACTAGGCTGATGCCATGGCACTCTAGCCTGGGCAACAGAGTGAGACTCTATCTCAAGAAAAAAAAAAAACTTATGGTTTGTGTAGTGAACAATACCTCCAGTATTTCCCCTTACAATGCTTTATGTATATATTTAATATTCAAAATATGCCCTTTTCTAAGGAAACCAGATATGTTTGAAATATACTAGAGATATCAAATCAGCCTAGATATACCATAATTTGGAAAGAATTTTTAAATTACTCCAATTTTGTGTTAATGAATTATAATATGTATTTGAATATATTTCTTGCCATTTTATTCACTAGGCTGTCTATTCTAACAACATTGAATATCATATTTTTGGTTGTTAAAAGATGCTTGCTTTTTTTTCCTAAATGATTTAAAGTATCTTAAAACTAAGGCCACATATGCATTGGAGATAATCAAATAGAAGAAGGAAACTAGGAACAAGAAAAAGTTGAGTCAGAGGTTAACATTGTTGCTTGTTATGTGCTAGGACACTGTTTTGAGAGGTGTACATACATTGGTGATCCAAAGTACTATGGCCCAGCTCTAATGGAGCTTATATTCTAGTTTGTATTGGTGGGGTAGATAGAAAGATTTACAATAAACATGTAAATAAAAACCACACTTTGTACTTTATTACAGAGGAATGATAAAAAGCTGATTTGGGGCAGGGTAAAGTAAATGAAAAAATATTCTATTTATTGCCTGACAGCTTTAGTATTCTTGACATGTTTCATTTAAAAATAGGATAAAACTATTTGTTTTGGTTCCCAAACTGGCACATATTAATTTGCATTGTTGTATTATAAACTTGGCCAAGAAACAAAACCAAAAACCTTCTCTAATCTGGTATTTTATATGATCTGTAGCAGTGGTCCCCAACCATTTTGGCACTAGGAACTGGTTTCATGGAAGACAGTTTTTCCATGGGTGGGCTGGAGTAGGGGGGCAGAGCTCAGGTGGTGATGTGAGTGATGGGGAGCTGTAAATACTGATGAAGCTTTGCTCCCCCACCCTCAGTTCACCTCCTGCTGAGCAGCCTGGTTTCTAACAGGCCGTGGACTGTTACCAGAGGACCACAGGTCTATAGGCTTCTATTCAGCCATCATCAGTGCAAATGAGGAGAATTAGAGTGGCTTTGTGGTAGATTGATTATACAGCTAGGCTGAATAAATGATTTAAGAAAAAATCATGAATTGAGGGTAAAATGAGGAAGTAACATAGTGATGATAGAAGTAATGTTAAAACTCAGAATCTTTTGGATTTTTTCCTATACTTGAGGGCCAGAGTCCTAATGAGTACATGAGTCCTAATGAGTACATGAGTCCTAATGAGTACATGAGTTCATGAGTACACTTTCCAATTTGAATCATTTTATTAAATACTTATAAGCTAGCAGTGGATACCAGTTAGGTATATGAAGGAAAAAGTAGGTTTTCCTTGTAAAACTTAATTTTCTTTTAAACATGTACTGTTCTAAGCTCTAAGTTTCATGATTACCTTATTATTATAATTAGTAAGAACCTGAAAGTGTATTAATTTTAAAAAGGATTAATGAATAATTTTCTCTTCTACTTTTGTTCTCTGATAGTGTACTTAAATAAGCTTTCATAGTGAGTTTGTTTTTTATGTTTTATTTTATAATATGAATGAGTTGAGAATGTTCCAGGAAGTCTGCTTTCATGAATTTTTACTTAATTTTTGGAAGTGAAGGTGTAGTTCTTACTATGCCATAGCTAAGCATTTAAACTTAATCATGTTACTCTACAATAGTAAAACATTTTAAATCTCTCATATATTTCATGGAGTAGGATAGGGTCTGTGTCCTCTTCATCCCAGATCATTATGGTTTTATCGTCCTCTAAAAGTTGCTACTGGGTTGAAGTTTAAGTTTTAAGTTGAAGTTTTGCCTCATCTACAACTTTCTTCCTACATCTTCCTCATCACTGTTGTCAACTGATCTTTAGATCATGAAGTCTTATCATCACACTGGATAAAAATACCGTAAAAATTACTTACACTATAATAATTATGGTTGCTATGAAGGAGTTTCTGTTATTTTTCTCTTTTTACAGATGAGTCCGAGATCTGGAGAAGTTAAATAATGTGCTGTACAGAAAAGAGTTAACATAGTAGGTCTGAGACAGCTATTCTTAGAAAGGTCTGCTTGCAAGGTTGGCCCCTGGCTGGGATTTGTGAACTTGGCTCCCACAGTGTTCCTAGTAACTGATAAGGGTGATTCACTGTGCCTAGATTGTTTGCGCAAATAATATGGTTTATATTGAACACCTGCTTTCCTTCTAGGGGTCTGGAATTTTGGTATACACTAAGGCAGAGAGTGCCTATGTGACTAGCCCTCAGTAAAAACCTTGGGTGCTGAATCTCTAATAGACTTCTCTGGTCAGAAACATTGCCCACATATTGCCGTATTTTTGTTGCTGGGGGAAGAGTAAGCTCTGTGTGACCTCTCATGAGAAAGAGAGATCATAAGAAAGTCTGTAGATGGATTCCTCCAAATTCCACCTGCGACTTTCTCTGGTGACCTGCTGTGTATTCTTACTGTAGCCATGAGTCCAGCTTTGTATTCTTGAGTATTTCTATGAGTATTCTTTGTATTTCTATGAGTACTGCTGTGTATTCTTACTTTCTCTGGTGACCTGCTGTGTATTCTTACTGTAGCCATGAGTACAGTTTTATGCTGAGTTCTGTGAGTCCTCACAAATCTTCAAATGTAGAGGTGGTCTTGGAGTCCCCTGATGTACCTTTCCAGACTAAAAGAGATTCTGCCCTGCTGAGACTAAAGATTTATGTTTTAATCTTTGTGGAAAAGGTTTATTTCCTTTTGCACAGTGCTTAGTGTTCCAGGTGTAATGGAGAAGATGGCATATAGTCCTTCTGATAATAATAAACATGTATTTCTTCATTCATTCATTCATCATATATTCTACAAACCCATGAGTGCCTATGTTCTGGGCTCTGGGAGGAAGCTTAAACCTTGGCTTATTAGGTAAAGGAAGGTAATCCTGAGTCTTGTTTAGGACTCAAACTGGGAGACTAAGTGCACTTTTGTCCCCTAGTTTCTTCTGTAGAGAGCCTTTTTAACTAGCATCATGAAAAAGGTTGTGTTTCGATTCCAGGTAGTTCTTTTACTTGAAATATGGGTAAACTTTAATTAGAGAATAAGACCTATGTCTGAGAATCTCTGTTTCTTGATAATACAGAACTTCAGGCCAACATTTCTTTCTAAAAAACAATCTCAACACTTAAGAGAGCAAAGGAGAAAGAGAATTGCTAATACTGTTATTTTTTCCCTAAGGCCTTCAGAATTTATATGAAAGAATTAGTGAGTTAAAGAGTTCACTAATACACACAGAAACTTTTTTCTGGAAAGGGAAAAAAAACTATATACTTACATAGATAAGATATATGTAATTTCCATTTAATGTATTTTAAGCCTTCTAATAAGCTCATATTATGAGTCAATAAAGAAGTAGGTAGAAAAATTCCTCTGAGTGGGTTGGGAGAGGTTCTGAGTGATTATTTCTTTTTTTCTTTTTTCTTTTTTTTTTTTTTTGAGACAGAGTCTCACTTTGTTGCCTAGGCTAGAGTGAGTGCCATGGCGTCAGCCTAGCTCACAGCAACCTCAATCTCCTGGCTCAAGCAATCCTTCTGCCTCAGCCTCCCAAGTAGCTGGGACTACAGGCATGCGCCACCATGCCCGGCTAATTTATATATAATATATATTATATAATATATATTAGTTTGCCAATTAATTTCTTTCTATTTATAGTAGAGACAGGGTCTCGCTCTTGCTCAGGCTGGTTTCGAACTCCTGACCTCGAGCAATCCGCCTGCCTTGGCCTCCCAGAGAGCTAGGATTACAGGCGTGAGCCACTGCGCCCGGCCCTGAGTGATTATTTCTTAGTTTTTTTTTTTTTTTCTGAGATAGTGTCTTGCTCTGTTGCCTAGGCTAGAGTACGGTGGCGTCAGCCTAGCTCACTGCAACCTCAAACTCCTGGGCTCAAATAATCCTCCTCCCTCAGCCTTCTGAGTAGCTGGGATTACAGGTGCATACCTCCAAGCCCAGCTAATTTTTTCTATTTTTTAGTTGCCCAGCTAATTTTTCCTGTTTTTAGTAGAAATGGGGTCTTGCTCTTGCTCCAGCTGGTCTTGAACTACTGAGCTCAAGTGGTCCTCCCGCCTCAGCCTCCCAGATGTTTTATAGTCTTAGTTAAAAAAAGCAAACAAACCCCAATGTACATAATCATGAGGCAGAAGAATTTTCAGAGCAGGTACTCTGTAGCAGACTGCTTGGGTTGAAATTCTAACTATGTCACTTGCCTGCTGTTTGACTTTAGGCAAGTTACTTAAACCTACCCGTGCCTCTGTTTTCCCATATGCAAAATGGGAATAATAATACCTGTTCTGTAGGATTGTGTAGATTAAGTATACGTAATGTATTTAATACATACGATGGGTTTAGAATAATGTTAGCCTGGCACAGAGTACGTGCTCTATGAATGTTAGCTATTTTCTTCATTGTTTGGAAGAAGGAATGATACTCTTAACTAAACTATTTATTGACTTTCTTCTAGAATAAATTCACTTTAATGGATTCAAATTCTATCAAACCAGAATTTTAAGAAGATTCTACTAAAGGGCAACTCTTTTCTGCTTTCTTTTAAAATCATGAATGTGAAAAAGTTGGCAAAGATTAGAGTTATCTGCACTAGGATTTTTAAAAAGGCAATAGTTGGACTGGCAATTTATCCCTCCTTAAAAGAGAAAGATTCTCCCAATTTGCTTTGTTGAATAGACCTAACTAGATTTTAGATTTTGCTAATGGCTAGAAATCAGCCATACATCTTTATCACCTTTAGCTCCAGCCTCCTGTAAAGGAATTGCTTGACTACCTTAAGCCATTTGAAACAAAATCTTTAAAATCTTTTATGTATCTTTTCTTGGGTGAACAAGAGGCATCTATAATCAAACTTGTGACTTTTCGAACATCTGTGCAGTGGTTGGGGCTTAATCCTTGACTCTGATTGTTGCTTTTTCCCCTAACCTACACCTCCTTATCCTTACTTGATTTGGAAATTTGCTTATTCACAGAATATACCTGGGTTAACACATTTCCACAATTTAATATATCTTACAGATTGTTCCTTGAGTAAGTCTAGGAACCAATCCTCATATAAATGTAGGGTTATTGATTAATATTCAGATCTTTGTTGCTTATCGTCAGCTCTGAGATACACTGAATTTTAAGATGTGCTTAATGTGATCACTTCCTTCGTATACTTACTCTGACCCTTAGTATTGCTGCCTCAGAATCTAAGCATATGTGAAATAGTAACAGAGATTAGGAAGATAAAAATAGTCAAAGGGTTTAGCTAGACAGCAATATCATTTTTAGCTCTATTAGTTGACTGTGGGCAGCCAAGTCAGATTGATTTTGTTTTATTGTCTCTATGTTCATCAAGTAATTAAATAACTAAAGTTTGATTATTTATAGTATTTTTAGATGATACTTTCCTGGTACATTTTTACCATCGTAAAACAGGCTGAAGAAGTTACCATTGGTTAGGTTATACCTGGAAACCTGGCCAGTCTGGTTCTTTGGTTGCAGACTAGAAAAGCCAAAACATGCCTGGCAAAGAAAGCATCAACATATCTTAAACAGAACTTAAATTAAGTCACAAATTATCAGAGTTCATTTCTTATCATAAATGTGTGTGTGTGTGTATGTGTATATATATAGTCGTGTGCCACATAACGATGTAGTCAACAACTAGTTGCATGTATAATAATGGACCCATAAGATTATAATACCATGTTCTTACTGCACCTTTTCTTTGTTTGGATATGTTGAGATACACACATATTTACCATTATTTTACAGTTGCCTACAGTATCCAGTATGGTTACATGCTGTTTAGGTTTGTAGCTGAGAAGCTATAGAGTATTTCCTTTACCCAAGAAAGTGCCCTTTGGGAAGGATTAAATCCTTCCAACTGATCTGTTTGTTTTCTGTTCCTGTAGTTTGATATTTTCCTGAACGTAATGTAAATGGAATCACCCTTTCTCTTTCTGATATGTTAGCTTGTTCAGTTATGGTTGGTACAATAACAAGTGAGATAACTGACCCCTGTGCCGATACAGCTTGCTCACAAATTAGGAATTGTATTAAGAGACAATTAACTCAGAGAAAGATTAACATAGCCTGTTGAAAAATGGTAAAAAAAAGTTTTTCAAAGGGTTAGTATAGTATTCAACTTTCATGATGTATTTAGTAAGAACCAATTTATGGGAACAGTTTTCACACTTTAGATGGGAAAATGATAAAATCAAATAACTGTTTTTAACCTCCTTATTTGGACCTGAGTTTTACAAAACTAGATAATTCATAATCCTTCTTTCATGACACATTGAAATAATTAGCCCAAGCATAGCTGTTGTTTAATAATATAGCAAACATGCATGAATCCATCCTTCACCATGAGAACTAGAACCTTGACAAGAACTCACATCACATTTACCCAGGTGTGTCTTAATATAATTTATATTAAAATCTTTAATAGAATTTTGGTTGTGTATATTTCTAATTGGTAGATGTCACCCTTGCCCCCAACCAACTTTTTAGGAATGGAAGAGGAAAGTAACTTTTGCTAGTCTCTTGTTTTTCAGTTTTGTTTTCGTTTCTGTTGTTATAACTTAAAAAAAAAATTTTGAGTATAGTCAAATTTATTAATCCTTTGTGTTTTGCTTTCCATGGGTCATCTAATAATTTTTCCTTAACTGTGAGTTCATGAAAATATCCTATATTTTCTTCTAATTTTAAGAAACATTTCCCATATTTAGGTATTTAGTACACCTGGAGTTTATTTTGTGAATGGTAAGAGGTAATGATTAATTTTTTTAATCCTATGTGGATAATCATTTGTTCCAGCATCATTTATTAAAAAACTCTTTTTCTTGTTGATTTTAATGCTATCTCTGCCCTTTATTAAGTTTCCAATATTCATGGGTCTTTTTCTGGCTTCTGTATTGGTGTATTTGACTATATCTGCACCATTACCTTATTTTCCAATTACTTTTGACTAGGTAGGGCAGTTCTTCAGGATAGTCTTGGCTGACTTTGCCCTTTGTTCTTTCACATACAGTTTACTATCTTTGTCAAGTTATTTTGTAAATCTGTCTTGGGATTTTTGACTGGAAATATATTGAATTTATAGATGAATTTGGTGAGAATTGACATCTTTAAGATATTGAGTATTCTTATCAATGAACATGGTATATCTCCATATATATAAGACTAATTTTTTTAAATTCCTGGAAGAGGGAATTGAAAATGAGTAGCTTGAGAGGGAAAAGATAAATTCAAGACAGAGTTTCAAGAAGTAATGATAAACAATGTTAAAGACATCAAAGGCATCAGGTCCTATGAAAGCAGAAATGTATCCATTAGATTTTGCCAAACTTCTATAGAAGGAAGAATACTTGAGACATTAGGAAGTGGAGACAGAGTATAGAAGATTTCTTTTCTAGAACCATATCTGAGAAAGAAAGGAACTAGAACAGTAGCTGGAGGAGTATATAGTATTATGGAAGAAGTCTTTTCCATTTTTAAGGTGAGAGGGTCTTGTAAATGTTGTATGTTGAGGGAAAGGAGCCATTGTTAAGTAAGAGAAGGCTAAGGAAAAGGAGGGAATAATTGATGGAGCAAGGCCCAAGATCCAGTGCCTAAGTCAACAGATAAACCTTTGAAAGAAGCAGGAATATTTGAGGAGGCTTGGAAGTTAAAAGTAGGACTTAGGATGTTTGGATGTATATTGATACTAAGTTTGTGGGGGTGAGTACCAGGAAGATAAGTCTAATAGACCATAATATATCATTAACATTGTTGTATAGTAGTCTTTGGGCTAATTTTCTTTCTCAAATTTGATTTTATATTTCTGGGGAGCAAGGATTATACCTGCAGCCATTTACTAAAAACCCGTTGATTGTTTGAAATGTAGCCCATAATATGGAGCATAGGCTATGTATGTGGGGTCTGTTGTTACTGAATAATCGTTATATATTGGTGACTTAAAATTTTATATTTGATAAAAACTTCTGATTCTTCAATAACCTAGAAACAATTTCTTTATTGTGTTCATTATGTAAATGTGTGTCATTAGGCTTTGGAAATGATTTGTTTTAATAAATGTTTACTATCTGAATCACACCTATTTTGGGCAAATTGCTTTTTATAGAATTATATTAATACTGTCTTTTTTCCATTCCCACTAGTGGTTCCAAAGAACTACTGGTTCAGATTTTAGCCCTTGCGAAGTTGTGAAAATAGTGAAGAATGCTTAGACTACTTAACATTCAAATTGTAAGTAAAATTTATTTCTGTTATTATTATGTAAAACAGAATTTGGAGATTGTCATTACATTATAATAGTGAGCTTTAGTATGATGGGACTGTGGAATTTTCTTAATTTTCCTTTTTAAGATATAAATAAATACTTTGTATTCCATTTTATGTTCATAAGATCAAAAAGGAGACTGATAGTACTGCTCAATCAGTAGTAGTGAGATGAAATTTCTGCTTTTTGTCAGGTATTTCATTTTATTGTGGAAGTTTATAGGAATTTTTTATTATTTTATTTCCGTATCTATATGATGCCAGTAGTTAAACTTAATATAAGGGCATAATATTCATGAAATGACTTAAGAGAAACATATATTCTTTTCTCTTCAAATATGCTTTATTTTTCTGTATTCTTTAATTTTGACATGAAAAAATTCTGTTAGAAATAAATGTCTGTTACTGTCTCTTTGTGAAAATTTTAACATACCCAAATCAAATAAAAAGTAACTTTTTAGGAATTATTTAATGTATAAATCTATATATTGACATTCAAGGGGAAAAAAGCTTAAGAGGTTAGGTTAAGAGGTTACTTGAAGCCATTTGCTATACTGCATTTTGAACTAATAGCAAAACAATTATTGTGGAAAGAATGATAAAGTAACATAAAGGCATTCCAAGTGGTTTTACTACTTTATTTTTCAACTGTTTGAAAGTGTAAACAACTCAGATTAATCTGTCTTACAGAATATTCAAAGTATGAATATAAAATGAGATTGCTGCCATAAGCAAAGGACACTTCTCATTATTTTATTCAACCCACCAACCAACTAAGTGAGCCAAAGAAGAATGAAATATTTACGAATCAATGAATTTTTTAATTTGTTAATAGTTTTAGAAGTTGTCTGAGTCCAGCACATTTTTTTTTAACAAGGTCTCACTGTGTTGTCCAGGCTCATATGCAGTGGTGTCATCATAGCTCACTGCAGCCTCAAACTTCTGGGTTCAAGTGATCCTCTTGCCTCAGCCTCTGTAGTAGCTGAGACTATAGGCATGAGCCACTATGCTCAGCTTTCTTTTAAAAATTTTTTGTAGAGATGAGGTTTTGCTGTTGCCCATGCTGGTCTTGAACCCCTGGCCTCAAGTGATCCTCCCACTTTGGCTTTCCAAAGTGCTGAAATTACAGGTGTGAGCCACAACACCTGGCTAGTCCAGCACATTTATGTTCAATGCATCAAAAATTTTTAACATTTCTACTAACATATTTCAGGAAGAAAACTACATCTTCATAAAGGGAGAAAGTTGCACATTTTATCTCCTAGAATGTAAATATCATACTACTACCTATGTATAATAGCTTAAGAACGTAATATGTTCATGAACTTGAATATTAACTCTTCATAAGTAGAATACTTGCTACTGCCCTCTTTTGACACAGGATGCAGAAGCTTTTTTATAGTTGAAACAATGTTAAAAATTAGATAGCAAGATACATTATGCTTTATATCTTTCCTGTATATTTTTTATAACTTTTCAAATTCTTCTTTGTAGGCTCTCTGGTTAATCGTCTTTAGAAGACTGAATTTCTGGATATCTACTCCACTCCATCTCTGTTGACTTTTAAAACATGATAATGCAAACCTGTAACACTGGCAATCATCCATGAACGTTTTAATTACATTGATTAATAGTGTTTGAAGCTTCCTCAGGGAATAAACAATGACATCAGCAGTGGTTGACAGTGGAGGTTCTATATTGGAGCTTTCCAGCAATGGAGTAGAAAATCAAGAGGTTAGGCATCCAATGTATTACATGTTTGTTTTGTTCATAGAAATAAATGCATGAACTAATTTTGAAATTAATGGGAAACAGGTATTTGAGAATAGAAATGTACAATGCATGAAATTGTACATGTACATGTCGTGTATCCTCATATAATTTAGGTAATAGAAGGTTGAGGAAAGTGCTACAGGGCTCACTTGAATTGATAGAACATGCATACATTGGAATGAACTTGGAGGAAAGAAATGGAAAGAAAAAATACTGTAGTATTAGTTGAGAGATAAATTTAAATCCCTGATAAAATCCATTGTCTTGAGTTATAGAGTGTGTAGGTGTATACAGTACCTAAATAACTAAATTAGATTCATCTTCACTTAGAATCTTGTATCTGCTTTACTTGGCATCTTTATTTTTTGGTTATTCTATTATATGTAAATCAGTATGGAGATCCATTGTATTTTAATCTCATATCCACTTAAAAATTGATAATTAGTAAGTCAGAAAATAAAATCAGGTTTTGAAATTTTACATATGTAGAATTTTGAATCAGTAGCAGATGGGAATGGAAAATAACTGTACCAGGCCGGGTGTGGTGGCTCACGCCTGTAATCCTAGCACTCTGGGAGGCCGAGGCAGGTGGATTGCTCAAGGTCAGGAGTTCGAAACCAGCTTGAGCAAGAGTGAGACCCCGTCTTTACTATAAATAGAAAGAAATTATTCGAACAACTAAAAATGTATAGAAAAAATTAGCCGGACATGTTGGTGCATGCCTATAGTCCCAGCTACTCGGGAGGCTGAGGCAATAGGATCGCTTGAGCTCAGGAGTTTGAGGTTGCTGTCAGCGAGGCTGACACCATGGCAATCTAGCCTGGGCAACAAAGTGAGACTCTGTCTCAAAAAAAAACAAAAAAGAAAAGAAAAGAACTGTACCAGAAATATATGGCCTTCCGGGTCCTGGCTATTCCTGCCATTCAGTAAAGTGTGAATATTGGAAGAGATCTAAATAATAATATAGTAGTGCTGACATAATACTCTGACAGGTATTTGGTCAGAGATGAGGTAGGAAAATGGCGAATTTTCTGTATTAAAAAAATCTGTTTTCTCTATTTTCTGTGAAAGATATTGCTATTGCTGATGCTTGGCACCAGTATAATGGTATAGTGGCATGCTTTAGAAACAAGTTAGGACATCAGTCTGTGTGTTCTGGAGTCTGAATTCTTTTCCTTGCTTGCTTGGTGTCTGTTCAGTCTTTCAAGATCCAGATGGGCAAATTTAGTGGGAATAGGGTAAAGTAAAGGTACTCCTTTTCTTTTGTTGGTAGATTGGATAACTCCTAAATGTTTGTTTTGTAATCAAATCCCAAACTGGTTCAAAGTCCAGTAAGAGAAGCCACAGGAAAAAAACCTACTTTATTCCCATATTCAATATCCATTTCTTCTTTCAAAATTCATTTTCTGAATGATCTCCTTTAGGCATGATTCACCAAAGAGATCAGGGACTTGGGAAACTGCCATCCCCTCCTATATAATCCAGACCAAATATTGCTTCTTCCTCAAAGCGCTTTCTCTCTGTCCTGTAGTTTTGCTCTGTTGGCATTTAACCCTGTGAGAGGAGCCAGCCATCAAGAGCAATAGGCAGGATGTATTTACCTTGTGGTGGTTAAAAGGTATCATTATCATTAATATGGGGAAAAAGAGGACCACAATTTGTTTCTGAAGATTCCTTATATTTTTCTTCCTTTACGTGGAACCCCCAGTGTTCATGTTCAGGAGAATTTATTATCATGGAAGAAAGAATCTGATAAATGAAATGACTTTACCAAGTTATTACTGACTAGTGATTTAGGTGATAGCTTTACAGAGTGATCACATTTTATGGAGGAATTCAGAAGAAGGGTATACCCTCCATGGGCATTTTAGGTAGTGTGGCACCAGAATGGGGGAACTATTCTTGGGGAAATTTTTATTCAAATTATACTATGTAGGTACCCACATACTTTCATTCATTTGTTCCTTTGAAAAAATATTGATAGACTACTTACTATCTATAAAGTACTTTTTGAGGCAGTGGGGATAAAGTGTTTTAGAAGGGCTATGAAATATAATTGAGGGTTAGAGATTGATGGATTAGGGGGTATTTTAATTAGGACATTCAGAGAAAGTTTCTCTGAAGGGGTAACATTTTAGTTTAGAGCTAAATGAAGTGAGGTATGGGGCCATACAAATATCTGGCAAAAGAGAATTCCAGGAAGGAGTTCTAGGAAGAGAGAAGAACCACTAATATTAGAAATATATTCTGATTTTACAAAGGGAGATTTGAGGATGATGGTGTTTGACACATAGATTTTTGTCTTATGAGCAACTTTTCAGGAATGTTTTCTATATACAGTAATATCTATACTCTAAAATGTAGGGTGGGGTGAAAAATGACCTGTGAAGCTTTTATAATCATAGTCTTAGAATCTGAAGAAAAAAAGAAAGTTTAAAAAGTGGTAGGCATGTAGAATGTTATTATCATGATTTTTAGCCTTTTTAAAATAACTTTTTTCCTGATTATAAAAGTAATACATTTTATAAAATTGGGATTATTCTATTTCTGACAATATCACAAAAATATAAACTATGATCTAATGAATATATATGTAAAAATTATTTAAAAAATAGTAATAAATATATAAAAGGCAGTCATATATTAAAAAATTCAACTACCTAATATGATTTAGATATATAGGGATAATTTATTATTAGAAAATATTAATATAATTTATATTAGTAGAGATAAGATTCTTGATGAAATAGGATTTTATAAAATTCAATATCCATTCTTGATAAAAACTCTTCATATAAATAGAGATGTATATTTCCTTAACATTACATAAAATAACATATATCAACAGCCAGCATTCTGTTTAATGGTCAATAGGTACATTTCTTTAAAATTGGAAAGAAGATAATTATGGTCACTACCTTTATTACTGTTTAATATTTTCTTGCAATCAGGCAAAATAATAAAATATATATAAATATTTAAAAACATACCAAATTATTATGGGCACATAATGTGACTATCCACTTGAGAAAACCAGAGAGTCTACTGAAAACCCACTAGACCTACTAATAGTGTTTGGTAGTTTGATTTGGTATAAAAATAACTAGCTTTTCTTTGTAAGAACTGTAATTAGAAGAGATTATAAAAAATAAGATTCTTTTTAGAAAATTAACAAAAAACCACAAAATGTTGAGGAATAAATGTAAAAGACATATGGGACTTATCTGAAAAAAATTAATGATACTGAAACACATAAAAGAATGCTTTAACTAACAAATATACTTTGTACTCAGGAAATATGGGAAGAGTTAATATTGAGGAGAATGTCAATTTATCACAATTAATCCATATATTTAATTCTGTCCGGTAAGTTTGTGGAAAACTGATTATATGGACCTAAAGATCATAGGGAAGAGTAAATATTCAGGAATAGCCAAAGCAATTTTTGAAAAGGAAATGGATCCAAAAGGAAAGAATCCAAATTACAATTGGATCTCTTAGAAATGGGGTATTAATACTGAAAAAAATAAAAATGAGTTTAAATAAATTTTCAAAAACACAGTAAATACAAGTTCTGGAGGCATTTGCTTCCAGACAAACAAGATTGGGAGTTCTTCCACTTCAGGTTGTGATGGAATAACTGAGACCAGAACTATACTCCTAGCATAAACAACTAGGAACATCTACAAAACATAAGAAACCACAGTTTTGAAATACTGGACAATAGGCAGCATAGCACTCTGCTTCCTGAGAGAAGAGAAGATCACTTCTTTGATTGTGCTGGTGTATTGCTTAGAGCCACTTTCTGGGCCACAGTGTAGGGAAAAGGAACCCAAGTAGAGCATAACTGTCTCACTGAATTGAGGAAACAAAATTTGAAATTTGGAGAGGCTAAAACAGGTAATTTGAGGGGTGAGTATGTAAGAGGAAGAAGCTGTTCATAGAACATTAAAACTCTGCCTTGGGATCCCCTGAGTCTTTGGCTGATACTCAGCTGTTCAAGTGTAATATGAAACTCCATTGAAGCCAGGCGTGGAATGACCAGAAAGGATTTAAACTGGCTATTTAACTGAAAAATTTAGAGTTCACTCAGGGCTGGGAAATATTAGAGCTCTAGTCAGCTCGATGGAGAGTCCTTCTTGAATGTCCAGGGCATTCATTAAGGACTCCAGAATGGTCATCCTTTGTATAGTATAGCTAAGCTTTGGATAGTATAGTCCTAGAAGAAAGCATAGTCCAAACTTGCCCTAAAAAGACTTAAAACTACGAGGGCTGTCCAGAAAGTATCCAATCATGTAATATGAAAATTAACGTTTTTTTTTTTCTTTTTTTTAGACAGAGTCTCAGTCTATTGCCTGGGCTATAGTGCCATGGCATCAGCCTAGCTCACTCACAGCAACCTCAAACTCCTGGGCTCAAGCAATCCCTCTGTCTCAGCCTTCCAATTAGCTGGGACTACAGGTATGCGCCACCATGCCCGGCTAATTTTTTCTATATATTTTTTAGTTGCCCTATTAATTTCTTTCTATTTTTAGTAGAGACGGGGTCTCACTTTTGCTCAGGCTAGTCTGGAACTCCTGAGCTTGAGTGATCTGCCTGCCTCGGCCTCCCAGAGTGCTAGGATTACAGGCGTGAGCCACCGCACCTGGCCGAAAATTACATATTGATAGTGTCGAATACTTTCTAGACAGTCCTCGTAACTATCTGTCATAACAGATACTTTTAAGGCAACAAAATGCAGCATCCAACAATGTAAAATTTACATAAGAGAACCAGATGAAACTTCTAGAGATGAAATACTATCTAAAAAGAAAAATTCACTGGATGGGATTAAAAATAGATTAAATCCTACAGAAGAAAAAACAATGAATTCGAAGACAGCAATAAAAACAACATTATGGGTCGGACATGGTAGCTCATGCCTGTAATCTGAGCACTTCAGGGAAAATCACTTGAGGCCA